GAGAGAGAGAGAGAGAGAGAGAGAGAGAGAGAGAGAGAGAGAGAGAGAAAGAGAGAGAGAGAGAGAGAGAGAGAAAGGGAAAGATGCGAGAGATGGCACAACTCACCGATGGCAATGCACAGCCTTGTCCCCAGTTCCCCGTCGGCCCATTGACGACAAAGTAATTGGGGAACTTTGGCGCCGTGATACTGAGGTAAATGTTCGGTGTCTCCTTCCATTCCTCCTGCATGACGGCGCCGTCGACGCCGGTGATGCGGAAATGGGGGACGTAAGCGATGTCAAAGCCCGTCGCGCAGGCGACCATGTCGAAGGCCATCTCCTCCCCGCTCGCCGTGACGATGCCGGTCTCGGTGAAGTGCGAGATTTCCTCGTGCACGACGCGCACGTGGTCCTGCACCAGAGTCTCCAGGTAGCCTTCCCCGGGAGTCAGTCTCCGGCAGCCAGGAGACCACTGGGGGATGAATTTCCGCTTGAGCTCTTCGTGGCCGGGGCCGATGCGGGCGAGCATGCTGGCACGCATGCCCTCTCGCGCCTGGAGGTTGAGGCTCGTGCCGCGGAGGAACAGGGGAAACATCTCGGTGAGGGCGGATTCGAGTCGTTTGCGATACCGCAGATGGAACTCCGGGTCGTCGCGGAACCGCCGCTTCTCGGCCTCGACGTAGTGGTGTTTGCCCGCCGCCGCGGGCTTCTGAGAATCCACGTCGATCTGCTGTACGTCGCTGGCAATCTGAGGCGCGATCCAGGTCATGTTGCGTGCGAAGACCGTCAGATTCTCGGCCCCTGTGTTTTCCCAGCGTCAGTCAGCCAGTCAGCCCGTCAGCCAGTCCCATATATATGCACGACGACTTTGCAGTTAGTATACACCATCCATTGCTTTTCTATTCTTGGTTTTTTTTTCCCGCAGGTTTTCTTTTTTTTCATATTGAAAACAAAGGGAACGGGGTTGTGCCAACATCCCAGCTGACGATACATCGTCATTTGAACTCACCTTTGGCCAAATGAGGCACCATCTGGACCGAGCTGGATCCAGTTCCTAACACAGCCACCTTCTTCCCTTGCCAGGTGGCCGACGTGTCCCAGTTGGCACTGTGCAAGAGTTGGCCTTTATAAGACGAAAGTCCTTCGATCGCGGGCCCTGTACGGGATTTTGTCACGATGAGACACGGACTCCCTCTTGAGGAAAAATCAGGAGAAAGCGACACTCACACTTCCACTTGTTCACCACACCAGAGCCGTTGATCAAGACGTTGCAGCGGGTCGTGAATATTTTGCCGTCATCACTCTTCTTCAGCTCGACAATCCCTGTTGCGGTTGAGAAACCCCACATTGTCAGAAGAAAAAGAGGTGGCTTCACATGTCATATAGTATACTTTGTGGCTGTGCGAGACCTTGAAATGACTGATTGCCTATCCCCGGCTGAAGAAGGGCCAAGGGCGAAGGGCGCAGGAACACTCACATTCCGCCGAGGCTTCGTCCCACGTCGCACTCAGGACTTCCGTGTTGAGCCGAATGTAAGGGGCCAACTTGTGATTGTCGTGAAAGCGCTCAAAATACGTCTGGATCTCGTCCGAATACGAGTAGAAGCCCGACCATTCGGTCGACGGCTCGAAGGAATAGGTGTAGGTGTGGGCGGGGATGTCGCATGCACAACCGGGGTACCTGTTTTCCCACCAAGTGCCGCCGATGGAAGGGTTTCTGTGTGTGTATGTGAAAAAGTCAAGAGGTCAGCGATCGGGACCCGCAGAGACAACATGGACCAGAGGTGTTTTTTTTTTGAAGACCAGATCTGAGGAGGAGCTCACTTCTCGTAGCAGATCAACTCATAATTGCTCAGCCACCTCTTCGCCTTGTACGCCAGTAACAGGCCCGACGCACCCGCACCAACGTGGATGATCTTGATCTTGCGTGGTTCTGAGTGGTACTGTGGGAGCACATCGCATTGATCGACCACTTTTGAGATCATGGTGGCGATGTCGAAAGGGGGGGACGGCTGGGCTGGCAACGAAATGAACTTCCTCAAACAGAGTGGACAAAGACAGGGCCCGGCGATTGATTGCAGGTAAATAGGAAGAATCCGGACACGCAGCGGTATGGTTCGCACTTTTGATCCCAGCCCTTACTACAGAAACGATCGTACGCAGAATAAAGAGAATGACAAATGGTGCCGTTAGTCCTCCCGTGCTCATGTGAGTACTGACTCGGGCTGCGCTCGTCGTTTCTGGTTCCATGGGCTGCGACTTTGTTGATCAACAGCCGAGGCAGGAGACGGACAATGAGGAGAGGTTCTCCATCACACAAGAAGAGATGGTCAGGCTGTTCGCAGGTGTTTTGTGTCCCACAATCCGATGTCCACGCTCTCTCTAAGTGGGCATACTCCAAAGACTCTGCCTAGAAAACAAAAAGCAGGGTTGAGGGTAGAGGATGTCCCCCAGGATTACCGACGTGGAGAATCCAGAGGGAGCGACTACTCGTATGTGCATGACGGAGCCCGCGCGAGACACGTCGTGATGGGTGGAGAATAATAGAGGGACAGTCAGCGAGGGATTACTATCCCAGCCCTCCCCCCCCCTCCCTTGGGGCCCCGCAGAGGAAGATGAAGCTGATTCGCTAGAGTCGAACCGCAGATAACGCTGGGGTCAGAGATGAGAAGGACGCTCGAGAATACGCTCGAGCAATACGCTGATGGATTTTTCATCGAAGTATGCGAGCTCATACTGGCGAACCCATTCTTTGCATCGAGGCTGCCAATCAGCTTTGCTGTATGTTTATGTCTGTCAGTGGGCACGAGTCAAGGTGATGTCGACAATTCTCCTGTTGCACAGGAGCCGAGCCTGCATTCCCACACCATGTCTTCGGCAGAGGAAGGTGAGTTGCTCTAGGGATTGAAACACCCATCACCGTGGAATATACCGTCATGTTATCTTTCTTCTCTGGGTGTGGTAAGCACTGCCAGATTTTGGTGACGATTCATCTAGGTACAGGTACAAGGCATTGACAAGATTTATCGTGACCATATTGGCATTGATGGATATTGTGGTCGCACATCTCGCTTCTAAAATGTGCATGACGAGCCCCTCATCTATATCACTTATGCAGTGTAAATACGAATTTTTGCGTCCACGATGCTTTGGTTTGGTTGGTGTCCTCCTCAGCGCGTGTGACTTGCATATTGTTCTCCACGTTTGCCTCTCTTCTATCTCAAGAGCTCCCAAGCTCAACTGTGGCCCCCGGATACCGCGAGGACTTCACCCGCAACATAACTCGATTCGTCAGATAGGAGAAACGCCACGGCATTGGCGATCTCGGAGGGTTCCGCGACACGACCAAGCGGATTAGAGGGGAGGGTTTCGAGGAACCCCTCCTCCTCTTTCACGCGGACCTTGAATGCAGCTGTGGCGGTGGTGCCTACATGGATGGTGTTTTCGACGGTCAGTCCAGGTCCAGTCATACACGTAAGCCTGAGGAGGGAGGGGGGATGATAACGGGGCCGAACTGCTGCATCGGTGAACAACCACGCGTGATGAATGGCCGTGCCTCCGTACTTGTACAGGGGGACAGAGAAATGCGAAAAACGACGTACCAGGAGCGACGGAATTGGTACGAATGCCAAACTTGCCAAAATCTTCCTGCCACGCCCGCGACAGCCCGATGACGGCGTGCTTGGTCGCGCAGTAGACGGCCAGCCCGCTCACGCCCCTGAGGCCGGCACCGCTGGCAATGTTGACAATGCTGCCTCTCGAGTTGAAGGGGCCCAGGGGTTTCTGGACCTGCATCGCCCGCAGAGCCGCGGTGCCGTAGTTCCACACGCCGCCGATGTTGACGGCGATCATGCGATCGTAGGCCTCGTCCGAGGCGATGGGGCCCTCGAATAATCCGATCCCAGCGTTGTTGACGAGGCCGTCAAGCCGGCCCGCCCGACTGACCACGTCGGCAATGTATCTCCTCGCAGTCGCTCGGTCAGAGGTATCGATACCGCCCTCGAAGTGAACTTTGCCCTTCTCGATCCACGGCTTCAACTCATCCGCGGGGGCTTGGGCCATGTCGACTGTCCAGACGGTGGCGCCACGTGCGGCCAGGAGAAGCGTTGTTGCTAGGCCTATCCCAGACGCTGAGCCGGTGACGACGATGTTCCGGCCTTCTTGGGACGCCATGTTTTCTCTTTCTGGCTGTCGGCTTCTGCCTCTGTCTCAGCAGCCTTTACTTCTGACGGGACCTGGCACCGCACAAAACATTGCCGGACAGGGGACAAGAGAATTTAAAGGGCGCGGCATTTGTCGTGTCGGCCTCGGCTGTGCACTTTGGGAGGAGGTGGTTATTAAGTTGTGGGCGCGATATAAGTCGCTTGCCGAGGGACTCTTTGCAATGTTGGAGCATCTATACCAGGTGGATAGGAGTGGAACGCCAAGGAGCGGTCTGCACAGAAAGCACTGTGGAGAGAGAGGTGGGTCTCGTTGCTGTGTGGGCTAGGAGATTCTGGAGAGGCATCTTTACGAAGGGCGAGTAAGCTATTTCTCCGTCATCGGTAGTATACTTCGTATTTCAGCAATGGTGGTCTCCCACACTGACAAATTGCGAATCCGCCAGCGACTCGGCTACGCTCTGCCGTGATTCGAGACGCGAATGAGATGTCAGGAAGCACGTCGCCATGTATTGGGTGCTCTCATGAGTTTACCCTGTATACGGTACTGACATTGAACAAATCTTCCAAGTCATCCCGGGATGGGACTAATGATGGCAATGCCTCTTCATGACTCAGAATCAACCGACTCGTCCCTGTTTCTCTGGTGTCTACAGCACGCTCTTACGCAAGACATAGTGTCCGGGGTCCTGGTTTGCGTCCACTCCACTTGGTGCCATTTCCCCACGGGGCATCGTGCCTGTACAGAGTCAGGGTGCCCATCTTCTCTAACCCCCGTTTAGACTTTCATGTATATAAGATCTCGGTTCAATCTCTGCTTGATGCTCCCCGGGGTCCAGTGCTTATACCATCCCTTTTAACCCCATTGACGTTGATCATTTGGCCAGGCAGCCGTTCACGACGCGACACATTGTCAGAGTAGGGAGAACGACATGGAAAGCCCACCCGACCAAAAGTCCGAGGTTATGCACAAGGAGGAGGAGGCCCAGATTTCCTCTAAGCATCAGGGGATCACGGGCGTGGATGACGAGTCAGCGCAGGTTGTCAAGAATGATGATTCTGACGGACATGTCAACTGGACCTGGAAGCAGATCATAGCCACGGTCTCTTTGTGCGGTGTCTATGTCGGTAAGTCCCTACCTCCTTCATGCCCGGGTTGTAAAGACAAGGGCACACGAAGGTTTCGTCGATGGCGCGGTTGAGACTTGCGGCTGACGAAAACCGACTTCGTTCGAGGGACAGGTTCTCAAATCCCTCTGTATTTCGTAGGAGGTGAGCCACACACGTTTTCGACCCCGGATCATCTCCTTCTGACTCCTCTGTTCCAGGGAGTTTGACTTACATTGCTGCGGACCTGGGGTCTGCCTCGGCCGGCTGGATCCCTGTGGCCAACTCGCTCGCTCTAGCCGCCGTGTGCCCCTTCTGTGGCTACCTGCAGGACATGTTCGGGAAGCGCAACATTTCGATTCTGGGATCATCTCTCATCCTATTGGGTGTGATCCTCACAGCAACGACTAAATCGTTTGCACAAGCAGTCGCGGGGATGACCCTGGCCGGCGGTGGTGCTGCCATAGGCGAGCTCACAGCACTTGCTGGGTAAGTCGACCATTGAATGCAGGGCGGTTGGCCTCCTTGCTGGAGGAGCTGACGGTTGCGTCTTCCAGTGTTGCAGAGCTCGTGCCGGTCAAGAAGCGTGGCATCTACCTGGCCTGCGTCACCTTCTTCATCGGTGAGAAAACCCCCCAACCTCGGCGTGGGGCCTTGCAAGAAAAACAATTAGAGGTAAAGGATCAAGCAGCTGATCGAGACTTTCAGCACCGTTCTTCCCATACGTCCTGTACTCCCAGCTGCTCTCTGCGCATGCCACCTGGAAATGGGGAATGTGGATCACTCTGTAGGCACATGTTCTCTCCATCTCACCCTTGCCGAAGAGCAATGGACTGACCTGCAAATTGATCAGTATATACAACGGAATCTTCTTTGTGGGAGTCCTGTTATTCTACTTCCCGGATTCTCGCATTCTGAGGAAGGGCAGACTGAGCCGGTTGGAAATTGCGAAAAGGATCGACTACATTGGAGCTTTTCTCTCAATCACGGGAATTATCCTCTTGTGAGTCAACCGTCGTTACTCTTGTGGTTTCCTGACTGACTATGTCGGACAGCCTCGTGGCGCTTCAGTCCGGGGGGTCGTCCCGCCCTTGGGTGAGTGCATACGTGTTATGTATGCTGTTCATTGGCGCCGCTTTGATCGCGGCGTTCGTGGTCTGGGAGTGGAAAGGGGCCAAATACCCAATGGTCCCTCGAGATTTGTTCGCGGGCCAGCGCGTCGTCGCCATCGCACTGGCTGTGGCGTTCGTGTCTGGAATGAATTTCTACTCCATGATCAACTTTGCACCTCTCACATACTCCACGGTCTTTGATCCCGAGTACGGTTTGCCTTTCCCGCCGTTCGCTGACAACCAGAGATGCTGACCGGCGCGCAACGCAGTCCCATCCAAGTCGGAGTCAAAGGCCTTGGGTACTCGATTGCCATCACCGTGGGCGCCAGTGTGATGAATGCGGCACTCACCATCCTCAAGGGCCACAACCGTGAGATTCTGCTGGTCTCGTGCGTTCTCATGAGTAAGTGAATGTCGGCCGACAACGATGACGGACTGAAACATGTGCTGATTCCTCCGGTCGTAGCCGCCTTCACCGGAAGCATGGCCGCCGTCAAGCCCGACAACCCAGGACTCGCTGTGGCGCTGGCAACTGTCGCGGGCTTCGGGATTGGAGGAGTGATCGTGCCCTCGGCGACCATTGCCATGACGGCCTGCCCTGACTCCCTGATCGCAACGGCAACGGCCCTGACACTCACGATCAGATTTGTCGGCGGCTCGATCGGCTATTCCATCTACTACAACGTCTTCACGGAGAAACTGACATCCAAACTCCCGACGACGGTCGGTGCATATGCGGTTCAGGCTGGCCTCCCCGAGTCGTCGGTCGCCGAGTTCGTCGCCAGTTTTCTCACGGCCCCGGCAACCGCCGCCAACGTCACAGGTGTCACCCCCGCGATTCTCCAGGCGGCGACGGTTGGCAGCCGCTGGGGATACGCAGATGCGCTCAGGTATGTCTGGTATGTCAGTATCCCATTTGGGGTCTTGTCCGTCGTCGGATGCTTCTTGATTGGGGACATCTCAAGGTTCATGACGAACCGGATTGCGGTGCAGATCAAGCACTAGTTAGTTAGAAAGCACGGTCCCCGGCTGCTCAAGCGATCGAGGCAAAACACAGATCTTCATGGTGTGAACGCTCATTCTCACCATACTTGGCCGTTGGCACAGTCCGAGACATTGATGAGTGTACTGTGGATGGAAAAAACTGTGGGGTCAAAAAAAAAAATACAATTGCCCACCTCTGGCCCGAAACGGGTATTGTAGTTAGCACAGGAGCTACAGTAACTACAATAACTACATTACCGATCGTCGGTTTTCCCCGCGGCTGCCGGGCCCGGCATGCTGCTTTGACGAGTCCGTCGTGATGGAATGAATGGCCCCGGCATTGATGGAGGAGCCTTGGGTGGTCAACCCCCGACAACCGTCGAGGAATAATCCAAAAGTGGTACTTGTGATAAACATGGCAACATTACCATACTGTATACCCTTACCTGACGGGCAGGAGGGGGGGGGGGTTGTTCTCGTTCTCGAGTGCAGGTATTCGGTAGAGCCACCGTAAGATATTCAAAGGTGCCCCCCCCTTACGGTGGGATGATAACCACCTACAGGTTTCTATCGTACACAAAAGAATAACAATGCCTACTGACCCTGTACAACCCTCCCCTCCCGGCATCAAAACCCCCTTGCTTCTTCCCCCTTTACTCTCTCCCTCTTATACACAGAACACAGAACGGAAAAATAGGGACCAGAGAACAATAAAAGAAAAGAAAAGAACGCGCAAAGCAAAGCAGGAAAAAACAAGGAAGATAAGAATCTCCATCGCATATCTATCCCTATTCATAGCCTACTAACCTTACTAGACGTGGTGCATCCCTTCCTTTTCTCATTCTTTTCCTCAGCTGGCCAGACTCGACGCTTTCATACCAAGTTCCCAGAAAAAAAAAACAATAATCCCAAATACCTAATACAGCGGAGTCGATGGCACGTGCCTGTCTCTTTTGCCTTCCCTTGCCTTGCTATCAAGGTAATGGATAGAGCCTGGGTAAGGGAAATTGAAACTATTCTTGGCCATGATATTGATTACTCTCGGGACACGTCACGGCCAAAGAACTTGGCCTTGACCCAGTCGAAAGCAACCAGAATACGATTTCGTGCTGCGGAAAGAAAAAAGTGTTAGTGGTCAATCATAGTCTCTACAACTCCACCAATTCAAAAGACAAAAAGAAAACTTACTGCTAAAGCACATGCTCAAATAGGCACTCTTCCAGAACAGATAAGTCATGGTACCACCCGAGGCAATGTTGCCGCTGAACCAAGACACGTCCGCCACAGCCTTTTCGGCACCAATGTAGGCCAAAGATCCTTGATGCGAATACTGAAAGGGACCGATCTGCTTGATACGGCGAAGCTGTCGTTGACGCTCGTTGATCTCGTTCAGAATGACGGTACGTTCGTCTGGCTTGGCCGTGGCTTGCTTGGCCGACAGTTGCTTGAGTTCGGTTTCGAGGGCATCAGTCTTGGCCATGGTGTTGAAGAGACGGGCGAGGAAAGCACCTTCCTGGGCTGCGACCTGGGCGGTGGGAGCGTAGTTGGCGACGGCACAGTCACCCACGGCCCAGATGTTTTCCGAGCCATTCACAACCAGATACTCGTTCACTTCCAGACCGCGGCGAGCGTTCTTTTGTGCAGGGATCTGTTGCATGAGATCCTTGACCAAAGGGCGGAGAGCGTTACCAGTGGCCCACACGAGCAGACCGTAGGGGATCTTTTCGAGGGCCTTGGTTCCATCTGGCTTGTTTACTTCGGCTTCGATGTATTTATCGGTGACATTCTTGACCATGGTCTTTGTGCGAATGTCAATGTGTTCCTCCTTGAAAGATGACTCGGTGTACTCGATCAGCTGTTTGCTGAACATGGGCAGGACATTGGGAAGGGCTTCGACCAAGGTGACATGGAAGTCGTCCTTGATCTGCGGAACCCACTTGAGGAGATCTTCCTGGAAGAAATCCTGAAGCTCACCGGCGAACTCGACTCCGGTGGGACCACCGCCAACCACAACCATGTGCAAGAGTCGCTTGATTTCCTCGGGGGGTTGGTCCTTGAAAGTTGCAGTTTCCACGCAGTCCATGATCTGCTTCCGGATCTTTTGGGCGTCACCGACCTCCTTCAAGAAACAAGCATGTTCGCGAACACCGGGGATACCAAAGGTAGCATTTTCCGCACCGACACCGACGACGAGCATATCGAAAGGAATTTCTGTCTCTATCGCATCGCCTTTGATATCGGAGTCATCTTTGGCATAGACGATTTTCTTTTCGTAGTCGACCTTTGTGGCTTCAGCTTCGTAGAACTGCACTCGTGCCTTTTTGTGTCGCAGGATGTTCCGGATGGGCTCCATGATCGAGCGGTGTTCGATAGTGCCGGTGGTGCATGAGGGAAGCAGGGGCGTGAACAGGAAGTAGTTCCGAGGCGAGATGACGATAACATTGTAGTTTTCAGTGTCCAAGTTCTTGAGCAAGGAGACCGATCCCCAACCGGTACCTGAGGTCCCAAAAAGTGTCAGCCATGTGATTTTTCAGCTACGGGTCAGAACACGGGAGCTACGAACCCAGTATCACCAGGGTCTTCTTGCTCGGGTCGGGCTCGAACTGCTCTGCTGGATTCCTGCCTTCCCAGATTTGATATCCGGTGTATCCGATCAGAGCAAACGTCGACAGATAGGTGGCGCGCCAGATGAAGCGTAAGAACATGAAGCGCTTCTTCGGCTTCGGGGTCGGGGAGAGGGTGGCTTCAGGAGCATCTGCGTAGGTGCGACGGAAGGACTGCTGGAGAAGAGGTCGAGGGAGGAACTGCGGCGTCTTGGGGGCGATCGCAGGGCATGATGGCTTTGCCCGACGAAGGGAGCTTGAGGCAAGGGATGAGGATATCGACCTGCGTGACGCAATCGAGAAGCTCACGGGCTTCATGCGCAGGGCGACTTTGCTCGCCATGGCCGGCAGGAGAGGGATGTTGGGTCGGACGAAACGAGAGGCGTCAAGGGGAAAGCATTAGGAGAAGTAGCCAAGCTGGTGTGAACGATCGCAGTCGCCGGAGGAGGCGCGAGGGTACAGAGGATTGATGAGTGCGAGTATCGGTATAGAGGATGATGATTATTATGACTACTATGTAGCTTTGGCAGCAGCAGAAACAAGAGATACGGATATTTTTTTATGGCGACCCGCGGATGACAGCACCAGCGGATGCCACATGGGCTCCAACAAAACGAAATCAGTGGAGTCTACGGTAGGGTCTAGTGGTCTACAAAGCAGTCTAGTTTCTGGGTTCTCGTCGTTGCTCGTTGTAGTAAAAGGTGGCTAGTGTCGTCTGCAGAGATCCCCTGGTATCCGGTAGACGAGAATGGATCCTGATAAGCGGTGCGTGGTGTGGTGATGTGTGAGTTCGTGACTGAGCAGAGAGCAGAGAGAGACTCGTGGGCTGCGGTCCAGATGCTATCTCGCCATGAGTGTTGAGCGGACGAGTGAGTTCCCATGACTTCCCTCGCCAGCTTGAACTGCACAAGGACCTGGAGTTATCTAGACCCTTATCTGGGCTTTGGGAGGATTTGTTGAGCCTCCATGGAGGTTGTGAGCTTGTTTTGATGAGGCTGTCGTCGATATTCGCGACTGGTGCGGACCAACTGTAAGTTAAGGCCTCTACCCAGCTAACCCTAAGCGATCTAACTAATACAGGTACCTAAAGGAGGCAACCTTGTGGGCTCTTTAGGCTCTCTACCTTGGACTCTCCAGGCTCTGTTACTTTGATTATTAGCTGGAGCTGAGCCCGATGTCCAGCTCTCCGGATGCCCGTAATGGGCTTCCCGTCGCCCCCCCAAGCCGCCAATTGACGCCGCCTAAATTGAATCTTATCGGCTTTACCGGTGCCGCCTAAAACATCTTCCGCAGGCCCCAACGCTCTCGCTTCTCCGGTCACGGATTCTCACTCCTAAAACGTCGATATGATCCAACCACAAAACAGTTATTTCGATTAGTTACCGTCAAGCGGTCAATCAACGTACTGTAGATACTCTACGGGGTACAGAGGACTCGGTTCATTATGGTTTACTACCAGGTAACCAACTAGGTAGCCACTAACTCACTAACTCAACCACTAGTAACTAGTTAATTGTCGGTATCAAAGCTCCGTACAGCCTTTTTTCTTTCCAATTCACACCGGCAAAAAGGAAGTTGGTCCCGAACCGCCGTTTCGGTCATGAAGCAGCATCGATTTTCCATCTGCCATGTGCCTTTTGCCCTTGCATAAGGTACAATATCTGTGAATCCACACCATTCGATGCACCCATGGTACTCGTATACCAGCCTGTCTTCTAACTAGCTACCTTTGGTCCGGATCCCACTCTTATCGCCTCGAACCCCTGTGCAGCCTTGTCTTCCTACCTATTGTACCTCCCTACCTAAGGTACACTAACGAGGTACCTAGAGACCTCACCTCAAGTCATGCGTGAATCCTTCATCACTCAGCGAATTATCCAAGTCTGTTCCTTCAGGCCTACTGAGACGTGTAGAAGATGCATACATTCCAAAAACATTCGTCTGCCCGTCATCTGTTGGTAGGTATCCAGAGCCTTTCTGTATTCAGTATTCAAACTCGCCTCCTGTGCGGTGTCACAACCACCCACAATGACCTCAACCTCTATGGAGATGCAAACGGATCCCGAATCCTCAACAAAATGATAGAGACCGAGAACTCTCATAACCTTCAAAGAACCCAACATTCATCAGACTCCGTTTTAGTCATCCAAATGGGCCTCAAAAGACCGAGAATGTGCGGCCTCGCCCTTTTCTTCCTTCTCGGGTCGAAGGTGCAGTCATGAACCTCTCGGAAGAGCCTCGTGGATTGCAAATGCATCAATATACGCGACATGCTTCACCGTCACCCACTCTTGTCCGTCATCTCCACATCGTGATCTTTCGAAGACAAGATCTTTTCCGCCTCGTCCTTGCCTTCTGGCGTCAGTTCCGGTCCAGGTTCTTCCTCCTCGGTCTCGGCCTCATGGATGACCATCTGCCTGATCTCTTCTGAATCCTGGTCCGAAATGGCGTGTTCTGCCACCACCCCAGAATGACGTCGGGCCTCCGAAACTATCATCTCGGCTTCGCTAATAGCACCCTTATCTTTATCACCTTCCGCTTCCACCCCGATGCCAATCTTGGTGTTCTGCTGCAGTTTGTTCGAATCGAAACGGACAACCATCACCGACAGATTATCTGTAGAGAATCGCGCAAGCGCATAATCGACCAACATTTTCGAGGCTTGTTGAGGATCTTGCACGTTGCGGACCAAGTCCACCGCCTCCTGATCAGAGCAAACATCCCATAACTATGCCGTCGTTAGTAACGTCCCTGATTTTGCGAGCTCGAGAAGGCAAGACTTACCCCATCACAGGCCAGGATTAAAAACTCATCTTGATCAGGCTGAATGACAGTTTCTGTGGTATACGGATGCCCGGTGACCAGGTCTTTGAGGTAAGAATCTCCCAGCGCGCGAGTGACAGCCAGCACTCCATTCACCCGATTGTTCAGGATCAGTCCGCCGGCTTTCGTGATCCGTCTGCCTTCGTTTTCATCCATTCCCTTGTGATCGTATGAGAGGCGAAGTGCTTTTCCGTTTCGACATAGCACGATTCGTGCATCTCCGACGTTGGCAGTATACAGAACTCGCTGCCGTGTAGCCTTGGTCTTGGCCTCTTGGATCGCTGCAGCTGCAGCCTCGGCCGTCGAGTTGGAGCGCGGCGTGGCCTCGTTCGTCTCGTCCTTTTTCTCGTTCTTCTCGTTCTTCTCCGCCTCTTTGGCTGCTGCCGCCGCTAATGCTGCGATCGCCTGCGAGCCGGTCGCGGAATTGTTGGTGGGAACTCGGTCCTCCCATCTCAGCACGGCGGTAATGGCTGTGCATCCACTGTTCTTCAGGGGCAGTTTCTCCAACTGGTTGTCAGCCGAGGTATAGGTTTGGTCGAGCAGCTCTGGGACGGGTGTGTTGGGGTGTTTGCGCATCAAATCCTCCAAGATGATGTGTAATTTCTTTCCGCACCATTCAGCGGCAAAGGTCCCAGCGTGTCCGTCGAAAATAGCAAAGTAGCCATTGTCAGTCTCAACCACGTGATGCGCAGGCTCCGAAGGTACCGATGTCAAGCTGTTTCGATCTTCGATGGATTTCTTCTGGGTGAGCGCATTCTCAGTCAAGACGGGCGCCGGGGTGCCCAGGAAGTTATAGAGGTAGGAATGGGTGTCTTCCATAGTCCGGCGACATTTCTTGTTCTTGTCCTCGGTGACTCCGACCAAGAAGGAAGAGTTGGGTGTCGGACGAGACTCGCCGGCCGAATTGTTGAGCGAGCCTTGAGGCACACTCAAGGCGGCGTCCGTCTTGGATAGCTTTTGCATGGGTGTTTGCGGTCCGTCCTTGTCTCCGTGGATGAGCGAGTTTTTGGCTTGGGTGAATATTTCTTTCGCTTTGGCGCTACTACTCCTGCGCTTCTTCGGCTCGTCTTTGGGCGAGGCGGTTGTGTCTTCAGTAAGCTTTCGTGCGGGCGTTTCGGACTGGTGGTTTAGGTCGCTGGTTTTGAGGGGGACGGGACTGTTGGGCGACCCTGTCACATTGGCAGAGCCGTCTGTACTGGAACGAGACTGTGGAAATTCCCCGTCGGCATCCTTCTCTTTCTTCCCAAACACGCGGTTCAGAAAGCCTCCATGCGTGGAGGTTCTCCGCTCAGTGGTGCCCGCCAGCTTGAAAAGCTTGATGAGATGGGCGGCGGATGAGATGGCAGATGTGACAGCGACGGAGCAAGGAGGTCACCTGGGAACAGAGAAGGGACAGGAGCCGAGTTGGGTTGAGTCGAGTCGAGGTGATGCAACTGGCTGAAAGTGAGGCGCAGGCGGCTAGGGACGAGGTTAGGCCAAGTTCGATCGGTCGAGTCCCACGGCAGCGGCAGAGGAATGGCACACCAGTGCCGTACGAGGAGCGTGAGATTGGGAGGAGTGGTAGGGCGGGTGAGAGGAGGTCGCAAGGTGGAAGGATGACCTGGCCAATGTTGTATTTGTGGCTTGGGTGGTCACGCACAGCTCAAAGATTCAGGAACACAAAGAGGAATGCGAGCAGCCAGGAAGAACCAGAGGAGACGAGAGGAGCCTGGAGGGGTGGGAATGATGTAGTACCGTAGGACAGAGGAGGGATAAAGGGAATTAATTATGTGGGGGAAGATGGCTTGAAGGAACGTGGAGGGGAAGATCTTAGCACCAATTTATTAATATTGCAAAGCCTGAGTCTGGGATGAAGAGCGAGTCCATGACAGCATAGCCTCGCGTTTAGGCACTAGGTTCGGTAGTACCCAAGGTACTTGAGGGAGCGTGCCTCTGAGGCATTTTGAGTCTCTGATGCAAAGCGTATTTAACTACAAGTACGCTGTACTGTGTACCTACTGTAGGTAAGTGTCAATGGGTGTTAAAGGTGCCTAGCGAGCACTCACTAGGCTTGCCCGGGGGAATAACTAAGGAGGTTTGTCGGTCTTTTTTATGCTTAGCCACAGGCCTGGACCGAGGTAATATTCCACATGCATAACCTGTAGCTTCGGCACATTTCGCTCCCTGGAATGCCTGTGAAATGATCACTTGGGGTCCCTACAGGTACCTCTACCTCTAGCTACAGTATCTACCCAGGTACCTAAGGTCCTCCGTATCTAACTAGAACTCTAGGTACCTTTATAGGCACCTCACATTATGTGTGTACCTGTCGCCATTATAGGTACCTACCTTAGGTAAGGTGAGGCGAGGTACCACCAGGCACCACTGTTTGATCCCCTGCGCACAATCACGCTGATTTTTAAACCACAGTAGTGATCACCACAACTCTACTACGTCCCGCCCTCTTAGGACCGAGACGCTCATTGATTCTCCGTGCTCGGTCATAAGGTGCTGTACGACTGCAGCCTGCGGTATAGATTCAATTCACGGACAGTCAGACACTAGCTAGTAGTTGGTTCTCAACTAAATTGATGAACAGGTATTTTGAGTAGCCTTCGATGTCCTCGAATCGATGTCCTGAGTCAAGCCTTGGTATGGAAGGCCCATAAACGCTCAAAAGCTGTATGATTGCGAATACGCTGATCTACCTCACGTCCGAGGATAAATGAATATTATTTTCACTCCCACTCCCACCTTCAACCCACAATTCGGTTTCAACCTCGTCTTCAACCCTCGCCAGCGAATTCCTGGAGACACCTGAGTCTTTAGATAACTAGCTTTTCCTTTTACAAGTATCTAGTTGTAGGTAACTTAGGGACACAGTGCAAATTCCTTGTTTGGTCGCTAATGATTCGTGAACAGAGGCTATCTGCCTACCTAGTAGGCGTTTGCTATGGAGAGACAAGTGGAGAAGAGGGATATATATAAACGAGCGCAACGGGACAAAAGCGATATCATGCAGACCTCATTTTTCTCGTTCGTGTTTCTGTCCTTGTTACTTCCGTAAGACACCGAATCAGGCATATGCACCGACAGGTCCCGGTAAGCCTTCAAGGTCAATTGAAGACACCCGTCGTCGAGTTTCTGAAGAGTCCCTGACGAGGTTGCCAAAGTACTTCCTGGCCACCTCGCTTTCACGCTTGATCTTGGTCACGTCTTCCTTCTTTTGCCTCAGCTCCTCCACACCTTGAGTGAGGTCTGTCGTTAATCGTTGTGCTGGGTAGCGGAGCACACGTCGCACTTCGGCGGCGATGCGGTTGGCATTGCTGTGGGTATAGTCCATCTCGGCGAGAGTGGCAGAAAGTTTCGACGCTAGTCGGGGAGGGAGTGTCTGTGGGATGTTTGACAAAACATAGGCGACGGTGAGAACAGCTGCGATATATGTCAGAGATTTTCTTCCATAATGAACGAAAATGAAGAATACTTACCAGCAGCAACCACTCCAGGAACAAACAACCTCCGCAAGTTCTGGCTGCCCAGAATCTTTGCTGCGCCGAAAGCACCATCAACCCAGCCAACACCACCAACAGCTCTGGTACCGACAGTGCCCATGACTGTCAAAGCGAGGCCGGTTCCCACGGTCTTCTCTTGTCGCTCCCACAAGCCTGCAATGTCGAAGAAGTCCCAGATCTCAATATCCGTGTCCACCGATCGCACGAGGGCATCTTTCCGTCGCTGGAACATTTTGTCTGCTTGGAAACTGAGATTTTCATAGCTTTCACCGACATGCAACAGCCCTAGAGACTTGATCATGCTGACACCCTCTACCGTCTTGGCTCGACCGTAGGATTCGCAGTTGGTGACCGCCGCAGAGATCTGGCCGAGCATGGCGATTCGAAGATCCTCCGCATATTGGAAAGCTGACCACAGACCTGGGTACTCGATACCGTGATTTTCCTTGCCCACATTGGCGATTGTACTGGACAAGGTCGCCCTTGTATGGTTGTACACGTTCGACGCCGTGGAATCAATATCTTTCTCAATCTGTTCCGAGATTATACTTCGGTGCTTCTGCTTGTCCTCAAATTCGGGTTCGATTTCGTCGAGAGCCTTGGAGACTCTCTCCAATTCAGCTTGTGCGACGTCCCGGTTGACGGTTGCTAGGACATTCATATCGCCCAAGCAGTTCATCAGATAGGTTTTGGCAGGCGCTAGCTTCGACCGTGCTCGTTTCTCAAGAACAAATCTGCGAAGAGCTCCTTCCAAAACCTCAAAGTCTTGCACCTTTTCTTTGTCCTTGCCTTTACCCTTTCCAGAATCGTCATCACCATCGTCACCATCCGGAGGATGTGAAGGTCCAGACCCGCTTGCGCCGCCGTCGTCTCCACTAGGCGGTAATGAAGGTTGCGTGGGAATGGCGTTGCTGGACACGAAGTGCACCAATTCTTGTGCTTCTTTGAATGTCTGCGGGCTGAGCTTGGCGAGCTGGTCGAGAATCATCTTTTGACATCGCTCTTTGTCTCTGATGTTGTCGAATCCATTCACCACCATAAAGATATATGCCTTCTCATGTGCAGCTTGCCATATAAACTCCTTGGCAGAGAGTGTGAAGTGATTTGCCGCCGAGACCACAAAGACGACAACGTCAATTTCTTCCTGACGCGCGAAAACTGCTGTCGTCTTGACCGAGTCTGAATTTAGACCAGGTGCGTCTATCAGGGCGATATCAACGACACCATTGTTCAGCAGCGATTGATCGATTGTCCGGACATCTCTGACGTAGACCTTACATTGCATATACCTGTCATTGTCCACGACAATCTTTTCCAGCTCTTGTAACGAGTAGGCATCGTAGGTACTCTCATCGTTTCGATTGTAGATTGAATCCTTGTGGACGGCGTGGACTTCTTCATGTCCACCATTCTCCTTCGCATCCAAGACTTCACAGAAGATGCTGGTACAGGGCTGTTGATCTTCGGGAAGGATCTTGCGCCGTAACAATGCGTTGCAGAACGTCGACTTCCCAGCATTGAGGTCACCCGTTACCAGCACCTTGCTTGAAGTATCCTCTATCCGATCCCGAAGGGCGAGGAGGTGGCGCACGCTCTGGCTGATCTTTCCATCCAGCAGGGAAGCAATCGACTTCTTTTCCAGCGAATGAACCAGTTCAGTCTGCGACAGTGCGCCAACCTTTAGATCCAGCTTGAGGATGGAGAACTCCTGTGCAATCTGTGGAGTGATCAATCGGGGTTCAGGCGTCCTTCTCTGGTGCGCCTGCGAGCTCGACTCGGCTGTTGTGTCTTCCCCAATCGATGTACCGGCTCGCCTGAGCGCCCCGGGACGATTCTTGAGAAAGACCTCTCTCGATAAATCGGACTCGTCCCGAGTTGACTGGGCCTGGGTCAAGGCCGGTCTCTGCGGGTGCCGGTCGTCTTCGGACCTTTGCACGGAAGGGTAATGTGCCGGCCACTGCGTGTTCATCTCCTGTAATTGCTTCAGCAGTTCTACGGTCTGACTGATGGCTTTGGCGAGCGCCACTCGATTCTGGTTGTAATAGAGTTGATGAACGTGGCTGGCAAGGGCTCGTTTCTCGGTTTCGGACATTTTCGCAGGTTGCCCGTCGACCTGGGGAGTATGTGCTGGCGTAGGTCTATCTCGCAGCAGTTCATTCTCCCAAGTCCTCATCTCGCCACCCTGCTGCTGCACGTCACCCGGCATACTGCCATATCCAGAATCTCGTTCCAACTGCTCCATCAACGCGGCCGCATGAGACGACTGTCCTCCAGATCCGACGGTCATGTATTCTGGGCGGTAGTTAGGAGGGCGGATGGGGGCTGGAGAGTCCATTTCGTGGTCGAAGTTGGCGTGGTCTGATGCATCTTCGTCTTGGGGACTGCGCGAGGAGGAGCCTTGATCGGGGAAGTAGGACTGGCTCATGGTGTTGGCGGGAGTCAAAGACTCTTTATTCAGCACTTGCGGCAGTGGACGGGAAGCGATGCGCAGAGGCGCCCATAATAAGGATGATAATGAACGTGATCGATGATTGAGTGTGAATGATTCAGGAACGAGTTGGTCGCAGGTGTAATTGTTTGTTCCTCTGCGGCAAAAATCCCTGGGACTAAGTCAACTAGTTAGTACAGCAAGGAATTACTATCAGGCGCAGCCAGCGCCCGGAGTTTCTGGCCGCACCAGCCGTCGGCACGCAGCCAGTTGTTTGGCTGAGAGAATCTTAGGGTCACTCCATTGCTGAGTACCTACGAGGGACGAGTAGGGTCTACTGGATACGGAGTACCTGGACGCACTGTGGCGCCTCGTACAGTGTTGCCATCACCCAACGTCACTGGCTTGCTACAACTGCGGGATCCCAAGGCTTCCATCCATAAACATCTCGACCGTCAAGATCGCCCGGCGACCTTTGAAACACAGCAGTCAACCGCAGGCTTCGACGCCCTCACTAAGAGCTTGTCATCTCCCTCGCCCTTCTACCTGTGCCTTTCCCGCGCACTTTCAATCATGAATGTGAGCAACAACACCGCTCCCCCAGCCGATTGTAACCCCACTAACCGCATTATCTATCACTCAAAAGATAATAGAATGGGCCTTTGGCAAGCGCATGACGCCAGCCGAACGGCTTCGCAAGCACCAACGGGCTCTCGAAAAGACGCAACGTGAACTCGACCGGGAAAGAGTCAAGTTGGAAAACCAAGAGAAGAAGCTGGTCGCAGACATCAAGAAGAGCGCAAAGAACGGCCAGATCGGCGCGTGCAAGATCCAAGCAAAAGACCTGGTCCGGACAAGGCGATATATCCAGAAGTTCTACCAGATGCGGACACAGCTACAGGCCATCTCTCTAAGATTACAGGTCTCGTTCTGCCCCCCCTGACTTTTCATTTCGTTTCTTTTCTAAATTTGCGGATGCGACAACTAACACTTGCATGCCGCGTACAGACGGTGCGAAGTAACGAGCAAATGATGCAGTCCATGAAAGGCGCCACCATGCTACTGGGCAGCATGAACAGACAGATGAACCTGCCTGCATTGCAGCGGATAGCCATGGAGTTCGAGCGAGAGAACGACATCATGGACCAGAGACAGGAGATGATGGACGACGCCATTGATGATGTGACGGGCCTCGAGGACGAAGAGGAAGGTGAAGAGGTCGTCAATCAGGTTCTCGACGAGATTGGCGTAGACCTGAACAACGCCGTAAGTTACCCACTCCTCGACCGCGCTCGCTCTTGACCTGCCCCGAAACATGTACCAGACAGGAACTAATGCCTCCCAGCTTGGTGAAACCCCCACAGGCATACAGAAGCAGGCCGTTCCGGAAGGGCGAGTGGCACAAGCGATAGGGGGCGGTGGAGAAGATGATGACCTTCAAGCTCGCCTTAATAATCTCAGACCGTAAACGTCCGCTGACACGACCCCGATGTTGAGGAGCATGGTGTTCGGAGTTGAGGTAGATGGAGACGGTCTAATCTACGCATGGCTCGTTACTTTATATTCCCGAAAGTTCCTAAAGTGCTTGACATGGCTGGCTCTTCGAATACGTGCTGTTGGTTTCATCAATTCTTTGGTTTGTCCTATCAACTACTACTATGCATGGATCTGTGAGCCTGGGCCCAAATGTAAACCTCCTCTTCCAACCCTCCGGTGGGGAGTAACTCCTCTGCTACCCAAAATTCAAGAAAATGCTGATACATGTTCGAATATAACGTCACGTTGAAACGATGCTGACACAGCCTTGCTGACTAAGACCACCAGCTCCCTGTTCACAATACAAGTAATCTGCGAAAGACCAGAATGAACCTGACAAGCATTTGCGCATCACTTCAAGTCTGGATGATAACAACATCCTGACCAAGAGGAGCGCCAACGTTGGAGTACGCGCCACCGATGTTTCCTACCAAAAGAAAGATTAGCCGACTGGGCATCTCATAATACAAGGAGTCTAATCTTACCGGGAGGATAGTAGTTGCACACAGTGAAGTAGTTGGTGAAAGTGGCTCCCTGTAGCGTAGGGCAAAATTGAGTGGCACATCCGACACCAGTGGTACTCTTCCACACGATCTGCGAGAAATGTCCCCAGGAACCGAAGTTGCTGGTGTCGGGATTGTCGACCCCGTAGGGCAATGGGTAGTACGGCATCTCGCTATTGTACATATCATTGCCGATCATGGCCGGAACTTGGGCAGGCGTGTAGCCAGCCCCAATGTTTTGGCCATAACCACCACCACCGGGAGAACTGGAGCAGCGTTAGTATCCATGAGCAGGTGATGAAGCGGTTTTATGACTTACAGATCGTGTTGATAAACACACTTTGCAGCAGTTTCTGCCGCGTATGTGGCCATCTGCGCGTTCCAGGTTAAATCAGCGGCCGAGTGGTTGGCTCGGTGAACATTGTGGGCTGCAAGGATGCCCGTCTGGTAGTCCATGTTGCTGACATTCAAGGTGGTGGTTGGCAGTCTACCGTTGGCTGACGTGGTCGTTGAGGTGGATGCCACGGTCGTGGATGCAGCAGATGTAGTGGTTGGTGCAACGGTGGTCGTGGTGCTCGAGCTAGCTCCGACGCTTGAGCTGCTTGATGAGATTGAACTGCTGGGAATAATGGAACCGCCAGTGCTAGTGGTGCTTGCGCTGCTTGCACTGGATGCGCTCGTTGAGCTCGAGGACGTGCTGGTAGAACCGCCGATTGGTCCGATGCTGCTTTCGCTTGTGGCGGAGGTACTGGACGAAGCGCTGGTGGAGGAAACGCTCGTGGAGGAAGTGCTTGTGGAGCCACCAATGGGTCCAACACCGTTACTGCTCGTTGTGCTGGTGCTGGGGCCAGTTGGGCTCACCGTCACGGTTGTGTTCGTGTAGACTGTGTGAGTGTTCGTTGTGGCAGCCCAATCAGACCAGGATGCATCATCAGTCTGAGTAGGGAACGCACTAATGGCCTCGTAGACTGTTGTCTCTGCGGTGTGCGTTCTGGTCAATGTTGCGCCGTCTTCAGCATTATCGTCATTCCAATCGACCCAGGCGAGGTCGTTGGTAGGTTGAGCTCCTGTCCAAACCGTCTTGGTCACATATACCGTTGAACCTGCAGGGTCCGTAGGTGGAACGATCAGCTCGATAGCCATACCGGTCTTGGTCGTCGTGACACCCCCGGTTTCAAACACGACAACGACGGGTCCGGCTTTGGTGATTGTCTTGCCCGGAACTGTGGTTGTGGTTGCCGTGAAGACCGGTCCTTTGTTGCTCCCAACAGGACTCACCCTCACCTCGCCATTGCATGGGCAGTACGCGACGGTTCTCGTCATCGTCGCCGTGACGGTGGTGTCGGGATCGAACCAATCGGTCCATGATGCGGCAGCAGAGCCTGCAGCTGCCAGGAGGCCTAGCGCTTTGGTAGTTGCTTTCATTCCGACTTGGTTGATGCAATTCTGATTTCTAGAAGATCGGGAGAAGCAAAGAACAGAGCGATTGCAGGCTCGAGATAATAACAGCGGAATAAAAGAGAGTGACTAGAGTGAGTATGTCTGTGCTGGTGAAGGGGATTTCAATGAACGACTCCTTGACCAGTCGACAAGATGATGTGGACGACTTCGAACTATATGTTTCCCAGGTATCCAACGCCCCCCGTTATAAGCGGAGCCACGCTATTGGTCAATGATGAGTTCGTTGACGGACCGTTGACGGGTAGTTCAGGGAGATTAGACAGCGCATTTGGAGTGCTGTCAAGACAACTGCCATGTTCAGGTCATAAGCTCTGCTCCAGGAGCGGCGCCATCCCGTTGGTCGGAGGGTCATCCCGTTGGTCTGGGTGGTGTTCAGCATTCTCTCCGGCGCAGTTTTGTTCTTTTTCGGTAAGTCGCAATCGACAGGTATCCTGGCAAGGCTGAACGAGGGAGTCATGATCGAGTTTCTGGTCAGCTCTGAGCTCTGCATCTATGTATGCAAAGGGTTGAAGTACTGAAGCAGATCTGGCCTCACTATTGGGAAAGGCAAACCTGGGTATAGCTGCGAGGGAGCAACGAAACAAAGCTGGTGGGTAGAGCTCTAAACAATGGGTTCTCGAAGCGGGTCGGGTTCCTCGTCGTATGCCTTGCTCCGACGACAGATGAGCTTACCTAGACTGCGTGAAGGTTTTTTTCAGGAGGGTGTGTCTTGACGTAGGACGAAAAGGGAAAGGAGATTGCAAGTAGATTCAGGAACGGCGACAGTAGGGAGGCAGTTGGCCAAACAAAGTGTAAATAGCAGGTGTTGTGGCCAAATAGGGTGTGGATGGGAGGTGTCAAACCTGTCAAGTTGCGGCAAGCCAAATTGTTTCTGCGTTGACGCTACACGTGTCCAGCCCTCATGGACCATGGACGTGTTCGTGCTGGTAGATTCATCGTGCTGAACGCACCACCAAAGCCGATCTGTATTGAATCCGAGCTCGTGAGTCTAATTTGGTTGCCATCCAAGCGTGGCCTTGTCCGTGTGGATTGACGCTCTCCGCAGATCAGTGTATCGTGTATGTGCCCAGGGCTGGAGAAATTGCATGCAAGCAGAGATGAATGCACGTAGATCATGGCATAGACCATCCGCACGAGTACGAGGAGGCAGCAAGGCTCGAGCAACGTGATTTAAAAACACGGCGAACAGATTTCGTGTGCTGTCAGAATAAATCCGAAATGTCAACACGAGGAAGGAGGAAGGCGGGAGGAGTCGCGACACCTGAAGAAAGGGGAAGCCGAAAGAGCGACACAGTGACCTCATCCAGCGCCACTTCGCGCTCAAGCCACACAGTGTGGCGGCGTCCACAGCGCTGCACCAATATGGCCAGGTACTACGAGTAAAAACAGGTGGTACCTGTAGGTAGGTTACCAGGTTGGGCACCTCCACTGTTCTTGAGATGCATCTTCTGCCCTAGATATGCCTCTCCTACCACCACTGTCTTGAATTCATCCTGGGCTGAGCCTTTCCAGGCCCAGGATGTCTTCATTTGTGCCTTTGGCGTGAAGATGAGGGATTGCGTGCGGTCCTCGGTTGTTCCCTGTATACGGAGTAGGAATGAAGCTACTTACCAGACCAGCCCAGGAACATTGGAAAGCTACCATGTGGTCTGATCTTGCGGGGTATGCATTTCAAAAGCCCTGTGCCAATCGTTGACGCGCTCGAAGAGATGCAGAGACTGTTCGGGACCGGAATTTCCCATTTTCCGGCAACCTTGAAATCATCATGCAGGGCTCTCTGCTGCATTGCCGATTGGCTGCATAGACAACATCATATGGTGACACTCACTGAACCATCAATCCTGTGTCTCTTTGTGTCGCAATGTGAACTCGCAGAGCCCGTCGAAAAGCAAATCTCAAGCCTACGCCTTTCCCGACGCTGTGCAGAAGCAGCAAGTCGTCGTCTGTTCCTGTTCGGGACATCACCAGACAGTAGAGCTTGCTATGCGTCCACGAAATGCAGTCGGCATCGTTAATTTAGGCAATGGATGACCATGAACATGACCCTCCGCAAGCGACACCCAAGGTTCGCAACGAGAAACCCTTTTTCTATCCATGGGTGAGTTGCAACTGTTTCTATGCTCGTGTCCATATCTAATTTACCCCCAGAATCGCCGACTCCGACATCTCCATGGTATCTCACTGCGCAACCTCCATGTGACTGCACCGAGTCCTCGAAAGCATGCGAAGACAATCACCGATGATGATGCGCCATACAACCTCACCTCACCATCTAAGCGCGCGCTGAAGAGCGATGCGCAGTCTCTGCCCCAGTCGCGCTCCTTCACCAACCTGATTTCTGTCACCGGTGAGGCCCATACTCCGAACGCCTTCCACAAAGCAGCCACTTCGTATGAAAAGAATGAGAAACAGACAGACAGACCTCGGGCAGGAAGGATGCGCAGGAGGAGCACTCTACACTGGACTTCGGCAAGTCCAAGGGCACGCCAGTCAAAACTAGAAGATATGGTCGTGGACCGCCTGGCCGATAGCTGGATCTCAATACACTCTCCTGACAGTACCGAGCCAGTGTACATCAGTGAGGTCATTGAACGCTCCATGAATCCAAGCTTTGCTTTTTTCGACCTCGACAATACCGACTCTCAGGTTGCTCGTTCCGACGAAGGGACTATACGTGTTTGGGCCAAAGCCTCCAACGCCGATGAGTATTGCCTCCTTGTCGAGCTTGCTCTCAACCTCCGATCGCTACAGTTTATTGGCCGGACTCTCGAAAACTTCCATCATCCCTTACCACAAAACTGCGTTCTCCTGCATCTCTCTGATGGCATCTACACCAGCTTCACTGACCTTCCGGCCGATGTACGTTCTGGGTCCGACCATCTAATTGATCACAAGGAAGGCTCAGCGAGGCCTGGCGTGTCCTTTGATGTTTTGATGCAGTTGGCCAATCTAGATGAGTGTATACAGGATGCCATCAATGTCAGGACGCAGCTAGAAGAGGATATCAACAAGCTTATCGCAGACTCGCATTTGTTCAGCGTCAATGACGAAGGCCCGTCAAGGCTGGAAAGTGACGAGCCGCGTGCCGAAGCAGCACTGGCCAGCGAACAAAAGCATCTCCGACAGTTGACAAAACGGAGGGACGAGAAGCAGGAGTCACTGACCAAGCGACGAAATGCCCTTAGCCTGTGCCGCGAAGAACTGACCAAGACGAGAAAGTCAATTGAAGACAGAACCAAATCTTGCCAGGAGATTGAGAGTCTACTGCAGCAGACCGACAAAGACTCGACTGGGCAGGTACGTCGCATTTGTGAAGCACTGCTCACAATCTACCCCATCGAACCGATCAAAGGCCGTACTCTTCAATTTACCATTCGCGGCATTCACTTACCGAACTCGGTTTACAACGACACTAACCGGGACGAAATCGCCGCGGCGTTGGGGTTCTCCGCTCAGCTGGTGCACCATTTGTCACTGTACCTCTCCGTTCCTCTACCATATCCGATCGAACCGTACGGTTCTTCATCCTTTATCTCTGACCCTATCTCGATCGGCTTGAGCCAACGAAGATATCCTTTGCATCCCACGACAGTGCCCTACAAGTTCGAGTACGGGGTGTTTCTTTTGAACAAGGACATTGAGTTTTTGATGAATAGGGCGCAGTTGAGGGTGCTCGACATTCGGCATACCCTACCAAACCTGAAATACTTACTGTATGTGTTGACTGCGGGCACGGGTGATCTTCCACCACGGACTGGAGGTATTCGGGGTCTTCTGGGAGGTCGCATGGGTCCAGAGCCACTACGTCGAGACAGCGAAGAGAGTGTTCAGAGTCTGCCATCGGCACTTGGAGCGGACAGCAATCAGGGGAGGATTAATGGGGGTTTCGCTAGCCCCAAGGAAAAAGACATTAATGATCGCTTTGTTTCCACATCCCCAGCTCTTGGAGTGTCTTATCGGCATGGTTTCAAAGACACTACAGGGAGATAGATGAATCTACTCTGTTACACTCCTGGTTTCTCCATTGTCCACCATCATTGACAAGAGGTTGCTATATTGTAGAGGTTGGGGGTCCAGCAGAAACACGACCATAGGCTCTCAAAGAGAGGCTATACTGTACCTGGCAGGTGACAAGACCTCAACATCTACTACAATACACCTACTTCTGGATACTCCTGATGGCAGACACAGTCCCAATATCAACCATAACAGAGCTCTGGTTACCTCCTACCGGTGGCCTGCAGACTCACAATCAGTCGACATAGCACCCTTTTCACACGCTGCACACCCAGCTCATAGTCTGCTCACCCATCACCCGTGCAAATGCTTGCTGGAGCGCTTAGAGAAGGCCAGAGCCGGTCTATAGTCGTTCAATCTCGTCGTATCCTCACAATGAGGCCTCATAGAGTGACGTCGTCTTTTTCAAATTCACAGACTTTCCCCCATAACCCCGTGAAGCCGAGACCATGGATAACCAAGGTGCCGGCCATGGCTATGTATGGGCCGACGAGATCAATCAAGAGCAAGCGCAAGAGCCAGAAGACAACTTTGACGACTTGCTAAAACTGCTAGAGATGGAGATGGTAAGTTCTTCACTTGAACTAGATCCCATGGCGTCGCATGAACCCGGTCACCGATCTGAATTGTCTACCAACCACATCCTCCAGGCACCCAACACCCCTGCAGATGCCCCGCAAAGCTTCGGCGCGGCGACATCTGCCCCTACGAGCACAACGACGGCTAGTGCTGCGAGTATCCAGCCTCCCCCACCTCCCCAGGATCCGGCACCACAGGCCTCCTCGTCGGCATTTCTAGGCGCAGTGAACGCCCTGGACGCAGGCTCCCTGGGCGCACCAGGTCCTGGCCGCCCCAATCCCGGCCCTGCAATTCCTCCCACCGCGGCGTCGAGTCCAGCAACAGCCGTCGTCGGAGGCTTTCCACACGTCTTCCACCCTCGTCCGCATCCGCATCCGCATCGACTTCCATACCCACAGCTTCCTCCACCGCACGGTTATCTCGGCGCCTCGGGAGTCGTTCAACCTCAAACTGCGGTTATTTCCCATCACCTCCGACCGGTGTATGCGCAGAACATGGCCTACAGTTATCCTGGCCAAGTTCCTGCTGCCGATCTAGCGCATGCTGGCCTCTACAAGGCGGATTCGTATTCCCCAGAGCCCGGAGCTGACAGTACGACACAATCGCGCACTGATAACCGACCACAGCATCGCCGTGGGTACCAAGCCTGTCAGCGATGCCGCGAAAGAAAAGTGAAGTGTGATCTGGGTAGTAAGTTGTGAATGGCCCCGGTTGAAACTCTTTGTGCTCACCAGTCTGTTACTTAGGTGTCGATGCGCCGTCGCAGCCGCCATGCAAGCGATGTCTACGTGAACGACTTACATGCGAGTTTGCGGCAACGCGAAAGAAACAGAAGCGGTCAGATGGAACTGCAAGAGATACATCAAGGGACACGGCGGCGGAGGACTTCAGAGACACGTCTGTCGTGGGGAGTGGAATGTCTGGTCTTGGATTTGGACAAGGCACACAACAGTCGCCAGCTTCGGTAACTCCCTCAACGTCTGGTAATAGCTTCGCAACACCATCGTGGACCCTTCAAAGCTCCAAGCGATCCTACACTTCTCAACCACGCGAAACTTCAGGCAGAAGCCCGGCGGACTCGATTCTCCCTCAGCCATCGGCGCAACGAAAGCCTTCTGACGTCGAATTGCATAGCCAAGCCGCTGTTGCGACCCTCGGCGGACAAGTCTCAAGTACACAGGATAGCATCATGCTTCTGGTAGACGCAGCCTACGCCTCGGAAGGTGCAACACCGGCCCTCAAAGACAGCCCGCATTCCGAGAGAGGTGGAAGAAAGAGAACTTTGTCCAGTCTCGATCACGGTGGTCCTCCTGCCCCTACTGCTAGCGGATTCACACCTCAAGAGCAAGCAGAGCAGCAGGCAGGTCTCAAAGCATGGTCAGAAATGCGCTTTGTGCGCAATGGCTGGTTCACAGCGTGGGAAGCCATGCAGTATGTCGAATATTTCTTCACACATCTGGCTCCCATGACACCGATTGTCTTTGATGACTATCGCTCGCCCCTCAAACACGAAGCACTTCTGATCGATGAGCCAATCCTGGCATTGGCCATTCTGGCCATCGCTTCTCGCCACATGCGCTTGTCCGGACATGCGGCGTTATCTCGATCCTATCAGATTCACGGCAAGTTGTGGAACAACCTTCGTCGTCAAGTGGAGCGTCTGCTGTGGGGACAGGAGCAGTTCGGTGGTGGTTTCTGCGGTGCCGGCACTACGGCTAAGATTCGTGAGCTCGAGACCGGACAAATCACTTGGAAAGGCAGTCTTCGCACCCTAGGCACCATCGAAGCTCTATTGTTACTTACGGACTGGCAGCCACGTGCTTTGCACTTTCCACCGAGTGACGACGAAGAAGGATTACTGGATCGAAGCATTGTGATGTCTTCCGAAATGAATGGTAAGCCCCCTGGCCAGAACGACGAACCTATGGCTACTCGAGACTACGACAATCTCCCTTATGCAAGCTGGCTGGAGCCAGCCTGGCGTGCCGACAGAATGTCCTGGATGCTCCTTGGCCTCGCTCAGAGTCTTGCATTCGAACTCGGGGTTTTCGATACCAATCACTTCAACTGTAACCACAATCACGGGCCAGATTCTGAATGTGCTCGCAAGCGGCGGATTCGGAACTTGCTCCTTGTCTACGTTGCTCAAACCAGTGGCCGAATGGGTGTGCAAAGCTCGCTCAATGTTGAGGAGTGGGAAAGAGACCCGACGTGGGATCAAAGTACCAAAATCTTGGAGAAACACCCGGTTGATGTCATGCAGGAATGTTGGGTTCATATCGCTAGGATCATGAACCAGGCCAATCGCGCGATCTTTTCTTCTCACCAGTTCACGAAGCAGCTGATTTCGAGCGGCAAGTACAAGGATTCCATCGCAACCTTTGCACCACTGTTGAACGGCTGGAAAGCTCAATTCGACTCTGTCAAAAATCAGATTCACCCTGTCATGCAAAGCATTCTCACAATCGAATACGAATATGCTCGTCTTTATATCAATTCGTTAGGATTTCAAAATGTGGTGGAATGCTGGATTCAAGGAGGGTCCAATATTCGCAAGGCAACGCTGCTCAAGATCGCCGAGGATAACAAGCTTTACATCGATGAGGTCAGCGACGCGGCCCTGAACATTCTTGGAGAGGTGGTCGATGGTATTGCAGGTCAAGGCTTCCTCAGAGATGCGCCTGTCCGTACTTTTTCCCGCAGCCTCTCTGGCATCATGTTCACTCTGAAGGTAAGCCATCTAGTGTGATTGTTCTATTTCTGTACGAAGGGCTGACGGTGTTTTGTAGCGATTTAGCCTGGGCACTCACGAGGCGTTGGTACGGAAATGCTTGCAACGACTCGAACAGATCACGGTTTCCATGTCTCAAGAGGTCGTCGATGATGTGCATCTCGCCTCCTCCACTTCGCGCTTGGTTCAAAACATTGTTCGAAATGTCAAGCGCACGCTGATACGTGTCCAACAAACCGGTACAGGTTCGGCGGGCCCCAGCCGCGAACACTCCCGCCCACAATCACCCCACGGTAAAGAAGCAATCACAGAGCCACAACAGCAACAAGCATCGAATCAACATATCAACCTGAACCATCTGAATGCAGGCTTCTATACTGACGACCCTCTGGCAGAAATTCAAGCGCGGCCTATGGCTGAACTTACCTCGCAAATGTTCGTGCCACCTCCGAATTTTGGTGGTGAGGGTCAGCTTGCAGACTCGGCCTTGCCCGATGATTCTCATCTGGACCCGGCCATGACCTTATCAATGGACTGGTTCGCCTTGCCGCTCGACAATCTGTTTCAGGACGACGATGCTACTGTTGACCAAGGCTTTGGTGGCATTGGCCCGACCGTCGGGACTCGAGACATGCTCGAGGTCATCACCGATCGTGATTACAATCAGATGCAATGGAATGGCAATCAAACGTTTGGGTTTGGTAACGTTTGAGACCCAGCAACGGTTCTGTGGATCTATCTCATCTCCATCCGCGTCTCTACTTCCAAAGTATCAAGCATTTGGCACGGATCTGGTAATCACAAGCGTAACTTGATGTCATAGCGAGGAGTCTATCTCACTTTGCTAACCATGATTTTCCATGCTGGGGCTGATGACTGATGAGTTTCATGACAGCTTGCATACGATCTCAGCTCGTTATGGATATAGAAAGGAAAATAACCAAAATAGTCTAAAAATCAAGAAAGCGTAATGTTATCAGGTACCGCTTGGCATGCTTGACGTGAAGCATTAGCCATCGGCCTGCGCTTCAGGGCATACTCAACTCCAGGGGGCGCACCACTCAGTAACCTTTTCAGGGGGAGTAGAGTGAAAGTTTTCTACAGGGATTTGGTGTTGATAGGCGCCAGGTCTAGATTCCTGGGCGGGCCTCCTGCATGAGGTGGTACGAAGGATGGAGGATCTAGAAACGTGGTAAGTTAGTAACGATCTAGACCAACTAAGGTTAGTACAATCCATTAGCTACTACTACTGTACCTACTAGTGCACTACATCCGACTAGGAAGTCGATTGCGTCGCCTGCGCCATTTGTACGTGTAACTAGTTCTGTGCCTCGTATCTCACTAACAAACTCTTTACCCACGTCCATGACTTCAAGTACCTACAGTACAGTATCAGTCCTCATCCACGCCGCCGCAGTTCCCTTAATCCCTTTTCGAACACGTTGGATAGACGTCACGTCGGTTCTTCACCTCCCCCGGCGTGACGTTCATTGCTTCTGACTCTTTCTTTGTTACTGGTCAACCCTCCACGAGAAGCCGCCGCGCGTGCCCTCATCCACCCCGACGATCGACGTTCTCGCTTGCCTCGCGCAGTAAACATGTCGAGCAATCGACTGACACTGGTATATTGGAAACGGTAGTACGGTAGTCAAATGTCCCACGATGCTCATATCACCGCGCGCCAGTTATGGGGCCAATTGAGCACTGTGGCTCCCACAGCAACTTCGGCATGGTGCACGCCTCTGATCCTACCCAGTGGAGGTCTGTTTACCGGGACCCTGTTGTGCTGAACTCTCCTAACGCGTGGTAGGCGTGCTCGTCTTTGGGAATGACACAACCACTACTTTGAGCGCCCAAGTCACTTTCAAGCAGCCTTGCGACAATCCTAACCAGATCATCAGCCCCGACACGACCGGCAACTCCTCTGTCATTGGCTTCCAGAACCCTTTCTATGCCTCCATATCTCCTCAAGTCTTTGCCCTAGCTACAGCCACGGTCATTGGTTATGTTCTCGTCATCCTCATCTTCATCACGCCGAGGACGTTCTATGTGGGCGGTCCCGGTGGCGGGGCTGGATTCTTAGGTGGGCGAGGCGCCATAAGAGGTTCGTATGGGTCGTCGCCCATTGTCGGTGTTGGTCGCAGGCCTCTTCTTCAAAAGATTGCTACAGTGACGGTCGCCATATCTCTGACGATCGCGACCGCGGATACATTTCGGGTGGCTGAAGAACAGTACAATAAGGGCTACATGGATTCATCACAATTGGTCGATGATGTTGTAGACAGCCTCGAAATTCGAATCGTTCGCATCATCTCGGATACGTTTTTGTGGCTAGCGCAGGTACAGACACTCATTCGACTGTTTCCCCGACACAAGGAGAAAGTGGCTATCAAATGGCTTGGATTCGTGATGGTATCGTTGGACACCATTTTCAGCATTCTCGACTCTTTCGTCAGTGGAAATGGGAATCCAAGGACCCGACCTCGCAAATTCCAGGACGCCATCCCGGCTCTCAATTATCTGTTCGAACTGGCCATCTCACTCATTTATGCCTCGTGCGTATTCTACTTTTGCTTGTCCAAGCGCCGCTTCGCCTTTTGGCATCCGAAAATGAAGAACATTTGTCTGGTGGCTGTGTTGTCACTTGTGTCTGTGGTCATTCCTGTGGTCTTCTTCGTCTTGGACGTCGCGCAGCCGAACCTGGCCGGCTGGGGAGAGTACATTCGCTGGGTTGGTGCTGCAGCGGCGAGCGTTGTAGTTTGGGAGTGGGTGGAAAGGATCGAGTCTCTGGAGCGTGATGAGAGAAAAGATGGTATTCTTGGACGAGAGATATTTGACGGAGATGAAATGCTGAACATGACACCGTCGGAGGATGCGAACTGGCGAGGTCAAGATGGTAACAATGATTCGGATGGGCCTCACCATAAAGGCATGGCAGAAACTTTTGGGTCTCGATACAGGCGCATTCGTAGTCGTCTCCCTCTACGAAAGAGGCGGAAGGGTGCACCGCGAGACGGCATCACCACAGGATCCGATGCCCTCGATTCCAGCCACCGCATGACAAACAATGGCCAGGTGATGCGACCAGAGCAAGTCGTTGCCCCTCCCAGCAGAAGCGATACTGGAAGTGCGGCTAGCACTGTATACGCCATTCGGTACCACAATCTGACCAGCCCTTCACCAAACTACCAACAAAATCTCCACCAGGCTTTGCGAACGGTCGCTGAGCCCGCGGTTGCCAGAGTCAATACCCGGCAATCAGATTCGGACTCGGTACGCAATTCGGCGGACAAGGAGATCGTTCTAGAGTCGGCTGTCCGCAAGGACGAGGCGAATGCCCGACACATTTGGCAGACAATGCCTAACCCCTTTAAGCGAAGGAGAGCCGAACCACCAGCAGAGGTTGCTGATGCCCAAATCTCGAGTGGGATACGACGGTCGCCAATAGATCGGCATATCAATTTGAGGAGCCGACTAGAGGCGTTTGCAGCCGCTCAAAGGGATCGTTTTGGCAATCGAGGGAATGCTTCTGTTGTACCTCTCCCTGTGACCGTTATACCGGCCCCGAAGAATAACGACAGAACGTGGTCGCCGGACGACATAGTTGATGAGGAGACACCAGACGATGGTGCTGTTCATATGGCCAACCTGGGCACGTCGGATCTCCAACATCCTCAATTCCAGCAGTCTTCTCGGCACCAAGATGTTCAGCATATGGTTGTCATTCCGGCTCCCTCCCCAGGCCGGACGTGGTCTCCTGACGAAATGAACGCAACGCCAACTATTGTCGAAGGAAGAACTCCGGGCAGGGTTATTGGGGGTACTCCGACCAGTAGCCCTGCTAGCAATGTCGTGCGAACGCAACGAGGTTCGCTCACGATCAGTGAATCTGAGAGATATGCGAACCGGCTTCCGCCGTCAGCTGAGCCTGCCTCCCCGAGATCCCCAGTGCGCATACCCACTGCTGCCATTCAATCTATCGCAGAGAACAGTCCAGCTGAAGGAGAAACGGTCGCAGCGATTTGGTTGGCCCCGCTCAGGGAAGATCGCCAGCGCGAAGAAAACCCCACTGGCGCAGCTGGAGCGCTAACTATGCCTCAGGGTCAAGGCTCCCAGGACTCGGAGGGCCTTACACCGTCTTTTGATAACGGTGTATCTACACCGAGACACGACAGTGGACCTCGGGCAGAAGATGGGAGGAATACCGGGGGCACAGATAGCCACACACGATAAAAGAAAGCTAGCTTGAATGATGTTTGTCTCGATTTACAGCGACATTTTACGAATGAAACTACACAACGTATGCAAGAAATAGATTTTCATTTTTCACTGGAAATCTTATAGTCGTCTTTGTCAGGTCCATAGTGTGGCTGTACCGGCCAAGACGGCATTTTAAACACGAAATTGAGTAGTTCGACCACGTCTGAGAATTGCCAGAAGAATGTTGCTGCCTGGGGTTCTCGCATATAGTCGCTTTTTCTTGTACGAGACTTTGAGGTTCGACTCCTCTATCTTCGGAGTTCACATCGACCATGGGTAAGGGAGACAGCAATTTTCCGTTGACCTTCTAGACACCTCGCCGCCGTATTAATCTTCTCGGCTTCTTCGGCGTGGAGAGCCAAAGTGCTACCGTCAGATAAACAACGACTGGCTACGGAGTCAACCACCAGCTGCCCATGCAAAAGAAGAAAAGCTACCACAAAACCCGTGGTGGCTGCATAACATGCAAAGAACGAAAAGTTCGCTGTGGCTTGGAGCGTCCGGTGTGCCACAATTGCAGTCGACTGTCGAAAGCGTGTAACTATGCTCAACCCACATCTTCGGCGAGCACGAGTACGCCGGGCACGGCTCAGGCGTCTCAGGCTACGCGAATGCGCGAACTCGAGCTCATGTACTTCTACGCGGTACACACATACTCCGTCATGAGCCATGACCCGGTGCGTGTTCGGCTGTGGAGGGACGTGGTTCCCAAACACGCATTTCAGCATCCTTTCCTCCTACACGGGCTGTTGTCCATCGCAGCGCAACACAGGCTTCACTTCGACAAGGACGCCATGCAGTCGGCGGACCTCGTACAGACGGCGGAAAAGTACCAGCAAGAGGCGCTTGCGAGCTACATTGGCCTACTGAACAACATCACGGAGGCTAATTGCCATGCCTTGTTCGCGTTTTCGCAGATCATCGTCGCGATCCAGCTCTCCCGTCTGAGTCTGGACACGTATCCCGACACACGTCATCCTCATGGAGTCATCACCTGCATGATCGAGATCTTCGAGTTGCTCAAGGGCGCGCTGATTATCGCCATCGAGGCGATCGACTGGTTGCGGGCTGGCGATCTGGAGCCAATGCTGGGCCCGAAGCCTGATACGCCGCCGCCGACGCCACTCCCTCAGGCGGGTTCTCCGTCCACGAGGGCCCTGGCGTCGCTCTCAGAGTACATTGCGAGCGAGCCTGCTGACGGTCCCGAGGCGAGTGCCCGAATCGCGACCCTGCTGTCTACGGTGCGCTTGATCCATTCAGGGTTCCTGGAAAGCACAGAGAGTCGAGCGACGTTCAACAACATCACCGGCATACCGGTGTTTTTCGACGTCAATTACCTCAGGTTGCTCAAGATGAGGGACGAGGCGGCGTTGGTGGTCTTGGCTTATTACGGCATCTTGTTGCATCAGGTCAGAAGGGTGTGCTTCGTGCATGGGACGGGAGTCAGGATTGTCGCGGCTGTGGCGGCTTTGGTCGGCGAGGAATGGGCCCCTTACATGACACGGCCGCAGCTCGAACTCGACGTGGACGCTCGCTTTTATTCGCTGCCTTCATCGGTCATGTCTTTGTCGAATACACCCTCATGAACACTGAGGTTGTCATCAACACGGCGACGCTCAGTTGTCTGAACCCACGGAAGACACTACAGCTTAGCCACTGGATATTTTCTCCATCGAGCCACGAAATGGGTCTCCGCTCCAAAATCAAATAGAATTCTCTTGACCTGGTCAGATGGCATTCACATTCCTCGTACTGATACTCCGTAGGACCCCGGCATACCTCGCTCCAGATGGAGGGTGATCCCGGGGGGGGGGGGGGGGGGGGGGGTTTATGATCCGCAGAGTTTGTACGGCGGAGCACCAGCCCTAGGAATGCCCG